CCTAAAACGGTATCAGCATATACAAAACTTGGCAGCAACGATTCACTCAATCAGCGGATGGGACATGCCTAAAATACATTGGAGTGCAAAACGAAATGGCAGAAGAACGCTGGAAATCGCTCTTACCATGTAACAGAATCAAACATCTAGAAATTCCCGGTTTATAAAACTGGACCAATGGAATGACAAACGTCATGGCGATTTCCACCGAATATACAAGAAGAAAACGAGTGCTCCCTGCAGCAAACATGAAACGAAGCAAAAAAACTAAAATACAAACTGCAGATAAAAAATACGGTTATAATAATATAAAACAGAGTACAGGTTGGCAATTTACATGGAAAACGAACATTGACGCAATGTATCGATTAGCAGAGGAACGTATTTATACGATCACATCATTATTACTAGACGACGATGCTCGTAATATATAACGACAGTTTTTCATTACTGATTTTAAAGAACCCGTTTCTTTCAGGCTACGAAAGCAACATTTTTAGAAGGCTTTGTCAATGGTCTCTGTCTCCGCCAATCAATCAAGCTTAACCATAATTATTATTACATCATCATAATAATCTAAAAATTGCATATTACTGCTGTTTATCTTCTGCGGTGGCAAGAAGAAATCTTCAACTAATGGAGAGAAAGATCTGCCTAGTCGTGCAAATGTTACTTCATGTTCTTAAGTTGAATTTAAACATTAACATCACTGATCAATTCAGAAACTTTGGGCTGATTTCATCTCCTGCAGCAGCCATGCCGCTTGTAAGTGAATTAACTTTAGCTAATGTGAGGAAACTGCAAAAGGAGGACTTCCTGCAACAAGGCTTTAGCGACAGGGCTATCACGCCACATGGGCTGACTGCCAAGTAAAACTGAAAGGACGATACTGCTGCATACGCTTTAGATCAACCCCACTGCCTAAAGTTCGAAGGCATCTGGTTTTAACCCTTGTGAAAGATGACGAGCATGACCTACAATCTTCATCAGTGTCCTAATTATAAAACAATTACGAGTAAGATGGTTTTTGCCTGACCTTCATTTTTCATAATCGTGGTTTGCCCTCCAATGAGATAAAATTTTCGTCATTCACTCCTATCAGCTATGGAAATACGGAAAGATTACCGAGAGTTCAATTCTGCTTACAAAACTACTCAATGGCGGATGTTCCTAGATTTTATGGCTTCTATACTGGCGACTGATGCACATTCGGTCAAAACACTGGATATGACAAAAAAGAAAGACCTTGACAGCTATCAATGATTCTGTTAACTATGCAATCAGAGGTATTCTCTGCCAGTTGTGCTTGGTATGGTACTGGGATGAGTTTTAGAAATCATCAAATATACAATAATTCATACCGCGGAGGCAGCAAAACATGGCCCTTTGCGACCTCCGTAGTCTTCAGCATAGACAGATGAGACGACTCCTGAAACGAGGAAAAACAGACCCCAGATCAGAGCGAATACGAGCTCCTGGAAAAGGTGTGCAAAATGTGATGATGGTTAATAAAAACTATGCTGATCGAACGTACGACTAGGAACCACGGTATGTAAGCACAGTGACCAGTCCCGGTCAGGTTTAAAACGTAGATGACGATGAACATGACTGATCCGAGTAGAGAAACGATCGACACGAAATATAGCACCGCCGCGCCGCCGCTGTCCACGTCATGGGATACTCCCACGCAAATAATGATGATGATACTTAATACCTAAACAAAGACATCAATTAGCATAAGTAGCATAATTATACGCCAAAAATATGACAATAAAAGCAGTTTTGTAATGAAATGAAAAAGCTTTAAAGAAATAAAACATTATCGTGAATATGAGAAAATGCCTCGTTGGAAAAAGTAGGATGCCATTCATGTACAGGAGACCGCCAAGCTTGTTCGAAATCAACCTTCAGACTGTAGTTGCACTGTATCTAGTCGGTCATGAAACGCTTGTTTCATTCACTTAAGTTCTTTAGACTAAAAGAGGACAGTTCAGAAAGTCTTCTCTGGTAGTTGTTGCTCATTTCGGATTGTAAATCCTGTTTAACTTCCAGTCAAGTCTGTTGAATTGTTCATGGACGAAAGTCTTTGGTTACCGGTGCGCCTGTAGCTCGCCTCGATGCTATTACTGCTATCCACTGCCAAAAACTCTAACATAAATAAATCAATCAATCCTATGGACATTAAATGCCAAGCAGCAAATGCACGCATACACGAAATCCATGATTTTCC